CGGGGGGCCAGCCGTTGCCCGGGGCGGGCTGGCCGTTCAGCCCCCTTGGGTGCCACGGGAGCAGCTGTGTGGCTCGGAGAGCTGCTCGCTGGGACACGGAGCTCAATCCAGAGACCGAAACACTGGCACCCTATTTGCGTTTGGGTTTGCATTAACTGTCCCCTGGGGCCTCAGGGATTTCGGAAATGCTTTTACAAATAGTCAACTTTTCCCACACTGCTCAGCCTGGAGAATTGCTTGGAATGTGGGGAGGACGTTTAAAGAACAGTTCATCCTGTCCTCCCCTGTCCTCTCCGGTGGGGCCATGAGGTAAATCTGGAGTGGCAGAATCTGAGGCAAAGACACATCTTATGAGAAAATTCTCACACTTCTCTTCCCTTACCTCCCATTTTTCGAACCAGTATATCTGAAAAATTTTGAGGAAAATGTAGGATAGGGGTAAAAAAAAAAAAGCTTTTTTTTTTCCCCCCCCTTCTCCTCTTTTGCAATAGTAGAGCCTTATGACCTGAATTGTGGTGTCAGATCACAGGCTTGATCTTCCAGGCTTAAAAAATAATCAGTGTAATTCATTTTGCTGTTATCAAATACACCTGTAAATCCCTATACTTTGTTAGGCTGCTGCTTCTCACCTTGCAGTACCTGCTTGCAGTCCATTTAGATGTGACTTGAGGAAAGCACTACTTGGAAACGCTTTGGTCAGAAATCAGAAAAAAAAATGTGTATAACACTTTGTTTTGGCTTTTTTCTTCAGGGACCTAACACAATCGTGATCTGCATGGTCATCTTATTGAACATTGGTCTGGCCATCTTATTTGTACATTTTTTGACATGATGTGCCCCTCGGACAAGGTAAGTAGAGCAAACGCAACTAAATGAGATTTTATCCCCCAATAGACTTCACTGTGGGCATTTTATGCTTGACTAGCTTTACTGACAGTGCAGCTCATTCCTTGATCAATGCACTAGTGATGAAATGCAAGAGCACATTTATTCAGTGGGTGCTCCTCATGTCATTTGCCTGCGTATGGATTGAGATATCCCTTGCATGTTCCGAGAATGATTTGTGGCGTAATTTCAGTGCACACTTTGTGAGTCTCTTCATAAAATAACTTCCTCAAAAATTGATAAATTGAATGGTTTTGATCAGATACAGTCCCACAGTACAGTTTTGCCCCCTCAATTGGCTGGACCTGATTCATGGAGTAAGACTTCCAGTGCAAGAATGTGTGATGTTAAATTTGATCTTTTTTTGTGCAAATATCCTGCACAAGATACTTCTTAATCAGTTAGACACTGCCTTCTTAAGTCTATTTAATCACTGCTTAGACCCCATGGATGAAAGCGGCCACTGTGTTTCACTCCCTGTTGACTTTTTTATTCCTCTCTGTCTGGAATAGGCATTGCTGCTGATGGAGACCACAGAACTTGGCAGGGATTAAACTCTCAGCCACCTGGAAACATCTAAGAGGAGGACTTGAGATCCCAAGGTTGCACTGCAAACATGAACCTTCAATGAAATCTCCTGAAGATCTATTCAGCCTCCCTGCTCCCAGTCTGTGGCTGGTCTCTGCAATCTATCAAGAAAAAAGCCAGGATTTCTGCAATTCTGTCTCCTTCTCTTATTTGTATGAAGTAGTGGTTGCCTTAAATTGTTCTCACCAAAGCCATCAACTGGTCCTACCATGCCAGGGATGAGGGATTGATCTATAGCAGTAGGAAAAGGAGCGAGAAGGTCTCATCTATGCACACTCAGGTGGGATTTTTAACCCCCTTGGTTGACTTAGTGTCAGAGATTTCCCAAAGAAATTCATCCGTGTCCTGGAGATGAAGCAATACACAGCAACCAAAAAGACTTGTGAGAGCCACGCGGCGCGCGGGGACGGACAGCGCAGCTCTGTGCGCTCAGAAGCCCCCAGAGGGTGGAACGAAAAGCCTTCCCTTTCCCTGTCGTCTGGAATTGATTTTTTTTTGCGTGTAGAGGACTGAGAGGGGGAGCAAGTGAAGTGGTGTTTGTTGAGGTGTGAGGAGACTCCAGCCGGATGCCCTGAGCGCGGGCAGGGGCTGCGCCGTGCGGGCTCGCGGGACGGCGACGCCGGGGCTGCCCGTGCGAGCGGGGAGCGCTGTGGGGAGCGGGGTCCCGCGGGGACCCTCCCGGCTCCCGCTCGCTGCCACCAGCTGTGCCTTGCCGCAGGTTATATCCCGCTGTAATTGGAAAGGAAATAGTTGTGCTGAATTTGCCCTTTATCCCCTTTTTCTATGAAAATGGTGCAAGTTATAATTAAAACGAGGTGGCTCACAGGAAAGCGGCCCGCAGCCCTGCAGGTTCCTCCCCACCGAAGCCCCACGGAGGCCGCAGCTTCACCGAGGCAGGGAGCTGACTCTCCAGCCAGTGGATGCGGGGTTACCGCCCTGGGAGGGGTTAGGTTATTCCTGAAGGCAAAAAGATGCACAAACCTGAGTGTGTTTGGGTGTTGGGCTGAAAAGTATGCAGCAGCCAGACTTTGACCAGTGGTCAAGTATGGAGGGGAAATTCTGGCTGCTGTTTTTCCATGTGAGACTTAGAGGCCTTGGAAATATGCACTGATCCTTCCCAAGAACTGCGACAGAGAGCGACATTTGAAGGGAGAGGTTCCACCCTGATCTGCTCTGATCCTCGGCAGTGCGAGCTTAGAAAATCAGCACAGATGAAGTAACAGTTTAGTGTGAGGCTGAGTGCTTGGACATGTTTCTTTCTTCTTAAAGGCAATATGTATTTTATATCCCTTTTTAAGATAATCAAATGTTATTTATAGTCAGTTGTGCACCTCTGTGTATCCTGAAGTCTCACAGCACAGCGCTGGCTGAGAAAAATCTGAGGGACTGCAAAGAGTGATGGATAAAAAGAGATGCCCAGTCTGTTCCAAATGCCAATCTGAAAGGATTTCAAGGAAGGTGTGACAGACAGGCAGGCATTTACACTGCCTGGAAAAAAAACCTGCCTAATTAATTTCCTGTAATTATGCCATAAGAGAGTGAGAATAATCCAGTACTTTTCTTTGTGAGCCAAGTTTATTTTTTAACCTTATTTAGCTCAGGAACGTTGCTGCAGTCACAAATACATGGTGTTAACTGTGGGAGAAGTGAATGCAATCCCTTTCTAAAAGCCATGCGGCTGTACCAGTCCTGAGAGAGCTGTGCAGCATCCTATACACTTCCACAGAGCATAGTTTAGTAGCAGTTTGCTTCTTTCTTTTTCTTAACTATAAATGTACTGCAAGCCCCAGGCTCCATTACCTTTGATGCTTTACCCCCCCATTTTCTGGCACTCACTTGCCAGCTGAGCAGTTTTGATATGCCAACTATTTTCAATAACTACTAATATGATTTCTGTTGAGAGACCTGAGGGGCCTTTATTTATCACTAAGCACAAAAACGAATCTTTTTCAACATTGTTAAGGCAATTTCCCGCTCCCACCCCAGTTCTGTATGCATGTGATGTGCACTTGGTTATGTGCTTTCTTCCTAGGAACATTCTGAAAAGAGTAGGTAGATTTGCTTTTATGTGATGGAAAAATATATCCATACTGCACTGAGATGTGGATATATATGAATAAATATATAGCCCCTTGGGGATTTTGTTTTCTTAGATGCAGAATAACAAATTTACCTCAAGCTGCATGCTTTCAAAACTGACTAAGATACGGAGTTAAACTTTTCAGGTCTTACAAAGATGCAGATACATTTCAGTGTTCACAAAAAAAACACCTTCATCAGAGATTTGCAAGCCATTTACTACGATCTGTATAATACTGTCCAGAGTTTTCAGTCGGTTGTTCTGCTGGATTACGTGCAATAATAAACAGTTATCTGCGCACTGTATTAAGGTGGACCTTTGCCAGAGCATCTCAAGGTTTCTTTCTGGGTCAGCACAACTCACTCGAGTCTTAGAGGAGAGCTCTCAAACGCGTGGCCCGGGATCGGAGAGGTGGGGTTTGGTTAATTTTTGTGTTTTACCTCCACGAGCAAAAGCAATAGGACATGATGCCTCTCGAGGTCGAGAGGTGTCCATAGGTACCAAGAGACATCAATAGCTGTAGATGTTGTGCCCGTTGGTATGGAACCAAAGTCATCGAGGCCCACTAAGTTTTGCTCCCCCATTTCTCCTGAGGACACCAGCGCTTGTCCTGGGGACACGAGGGACAAGGCCTCTGAGATGGCCCTGCAGGAGCACCCTGCTCCGGGGCCGGCCCGGGGACACCCCTCTGTCGAGGCTGGAGTCGCGGGGGGCGGCACTGCTGCCCCCAGCCCAGCTGCTCCTCCTGGGAGCCCTTCTCCGTCTCTCTCTGCCTGCAGCTTGTGCTGAGCGCTGATTTCCGGGCTCGGGGCCGTGGGCTGGGGCTGCTGCCTCCTGGCAGGCCTGCAAACCAGGGCAAACCCGCGTTTCCTCCAGTGGAGCTGCGGGCAACCACCCGCAGGCAACACGCGGTGCCTCCTGCCAGGGAGAGCGTCCTCGGCCCCTAAACCAAGGGACAAGACAGGCAGCGAGAAGGCAGGAGCAGGGAAAGTGAGAAGCAAGAAAGCGGCAGCCGGAGGAGAGCATTTTATGGGGGAGGACAGGAGAGCGTCATCAAGCGCCAGAGCCGTGTGGGTCCAGGGCCCAGAGGAATCCAGACTAGCCGAAACCTCCAGTCCCTTTTCTATTTCTGGAGCGCCTCACATGAACGAAGCCCGCGGGGGGGGCAGGACGCAGGCTTGGGGAGGTGCTTCCAAACAGCTCCAGTGGGAGCCGGAAGGTGCCAGATATGTCCCCTCTGGTGGGGACTCAAGATGGGCACCATTAACTTGTGGCCTGGCTCTTTTCTGGGCTGGTTCTGCTCCTGGTATCAGAATAGATTTCTCATTCATGGAGCCAGGGAGGTGGCCTGGGGTGGCAGGTAACTCGAGCCCTTGGCACCTCGTTAATCCCAGCCTGATGAATGGAGCAGCTCTGCTCCACGCATGGTGGAGGCAGCAGGGAGAGAGGCAGCCTTATGGAGAAAGAAATGACATGCTGCTTCAAAAATATGAATATTTGTGAACTAGAAAGCCCCTTCCCTGAGGTTGGAGGGAATCGTGCTGTGTTTCTTCCTGGGGAGCTGCTGCTTCCAGGGGTGACGTCCCCGCCCTGCTCCAGCCGCGTGTCCCTGGGTGCAGGGAGAAGGTGTCCGACATGTGAGAGGCGGGATGAGGGCACGGCCTGCTCCTGTGGCCGAAGGGCTGCCGAGTTAGTGTCCAATGGTGGGAGGTGGAGGGAAGGGTGCAACCCGAGAGCCCGTGTCCTTCGGGAGTGACCTGCCCAGGCGGCTGGGCTCATCGTCCAGCGTCCCGTGGTGCAGCTGGACACCGGGGCCGCCCTGGCTCTTGTCCCTCACCCCTGCTTGCTGCGTCTGGGAGGACAAGCACCAGTAACACACAGGT